TTTTACAAGGAATAACACCTTCTGTCGACAGAGTTTCTGTCGACAGAAGGTGTTATTGAATGGAAACTGTCCTTTGCGTCCAGACTACCATGTCGACAAAAGCAGCTTGCTTTGTCGACAGAACTCAATGTAGTCTGGACGCGCTTTGTCGACAGAAGCCTGTAGTCTAGACGTACCCAGAGTGTAGAAATATCTGCTGCTGGTGCATATGTATTCTCTCTGCTCTAAATGCACAGAGATGGTGGAGTGCCATGAGAGGAGTAGAACAGGAAGTCAGAATTGAAACCTTTCAAAGTTTTGGCCCAAGCAAGGGGGTATAGGAGCGTCATTTGAGCTCCCCACCTCAGGTGCCAAAATGTTGTGGGCCAGCCCTGATCCTCCTGTCCCACCTAGCATGGTCCTTCGGACAGAATGGCTACGTCTACACAGCAGCGCTATTTTGGGAGGTATCCCAAAATAGTTGTCCCTTGTCTTAACAGCAAGCCCATTATTTCGAAATATAATGGGCTTCTCATTCCGATGTTCCTGTAAACCTCATTCCACAAGGAGTAAGGGACGTTTCGGAATAGCGGGTTATATTGAAATTTAGTGCCGTATAGACAGTGCCAAATTACAAAATAAGCTATTTCAAAATTGACGTGATAGAAGCTATGCAAATTTGAAATACTTTATTTTGTAATTTGGCGCTATCTATACCGCACTTATTTTGAAATAAATTGGTGTTCCGAAACGTCCTTTACTCCTTGTGGAATGAGGTTTACAGGGATGTCGGAATAGTGAGCCTCTTGTGTTTCAAAATAACGGGAATGCTCAAAAGACGCAGAATAGCTATTTCAGGATATCTCTGGTATCCTGAAATGGTGCTGCAGAGCAGACATAGCCGATGAGAGCTAGTGTCCACCCTTTGCGGCATTACCGAGCATGTATTAATCAACGCCTGCAGCTTTCTGATTAACACTAGTAAGGCTGGCCATCTTTGGCATCATGTGTCCAATGCATGGGTTTGCAGGGAGCATTCTGCATGGAAAACAGACATAGCTGGAACTCCTACTGCAGCCTCCTCCTTTGTAGCCTCCTGAAACTTCCCCATACATCTCCATTCAGTCCTCTCCTGGTACGCTTGAAACACATCACTCCTGCTTTGAGATCCCTTTCCTTGCTCTCTCCGCAGCAAGTTCAAATTAAATTTCTTTGCCTCAAGTCTGTGCCCAGCTCTGTCATAGTCTACGTGTTTGGTCCCGTTTCCCTCTGCAGCCCTCTCTTCCCTTGCTTCTTCCGCCCTAACTGCACTCTCTCTCTTCCCACTCTTGGCTTTGCACTTTCCTGCAGGTCACCCATGACCCTCGCAGTAGGATACCACTCTCCAGCATCTCTCTGTTTCTTCCTCCAGTCCCCGTGTAGGGTCCTCTTCGTGCACAGATTTGTCTTGCTCTGAGCACGCCCTTGCACCTGAACTGTTGTGCACGCCACTTGCAAACTATATGGACCTGAAATCTTGTCTTTGCAAGATGATTTGTGCAGTCATGCTCCTGGGCAATGCAGAAGTCTCTGCTCCCTTCTAGGGATGGTGGGTGGGTGGCTGCTGCTGTTGCCTGCCTGTTTGGAGTAGTGATGGCTTTTGGTGGCGGCAGTGTTGATACTGAGCCCAGAAGCAGCATCCCAAATAGGCCCTGGAATAGGAAAGCATGTGCATGTTGGAACTAAAAGACGTTAGTTCGAATTAACTTTAATAGGCACTACACATAGAAACCGCTAGTTCGAACTTAATTCGAACGAGGGGAGTGCTTAATTCGAACTAGGTAAACCTCATTCTACGAGGACTAACGCCTAGTTCGAATTAAGTAGTTCGAATTAAGGGCTGTGTGGCCATTTAATTTGAACTAGTGGGAGGCTAGCCCTCCCCAGCTTTCCCTGGTGGCCACTCTGGGCACCACCAGGGAAACTCGTATGCCCCCCTCCTGGC